AGCTGGGGGGGTCCGGCCCTCTGCCATGGAGAGCGGCCCCAACGCACCTGGGCCATTGCAGACCTTCCCCTGAGGGGACGAGGCCTCTTTGGCGTAGGTTGTGAGCACCTTGTTGCGTCCATATGCAGCACGTAGGCCCCTTAGGCTGCTGCAGACCAGGTGGGCGTTGAGCTGGATGGTCCCTCGTGTCCTGACCAGCCTGAATTACCGTACGGCCTCATCCCGTGGCTGTAGCTGTAACCCAGCACGACGGTGAGCTTCCCCTAACGCGTTGGGCTGCGGTTATGAAAACTGAGGTGCTGGGGTTTTTCAGGACTTAGGCGGTGAGCTTTACGCTTCAAATCAGCTATGCTGAAAACTGCCTCTGCGAATAACTTCCATACCACCTGGATAAGTACACTATGAATAGGAGAACCAATGGAGATCTTGGGTAAAAGAGGAATAATAAAAAAAAAAAATCCCATTTCTGCTAACCTAGGATATTCTATCCTAGCTGCGCTATCCATGCAGGCATGGTGCAGTTGCTCTGCAGTGGTGTGTCTTTGGCTAGAGAATTTATATAATAGCACCTGCTTCATTCCTCTTTGTAATCTCTCTTGGAGCTCAAAATTCCCTGTGCTAGAGTTGAAGTGCCTGAGGGAAGAGAGTTTTTTTGTCATGGAGATAATGTGGAGTCATGCAAAGTCCGTTCTGCTCAGGCAGTTTGTTTGCGCTAAGTATTTGACTCGGAGAAGATGTCTTAGAAACCTGGTGCCCTCTTTTCCCATGCAATTGATGAAGCGCCCTTAGGAGTTCTGTTATCAGCTCTTTATCATAGACTTTTAACCTTGGCCTGTGTAGCAACAGACATACTATAAAATAAGCATTATATTTATTTTTTTCTTATTGCAGAGAACCAGCAAGAATAATGAAAGTGGAATCTCAAAAGTTTTCTGCGTATGTGTCTTGTACCCGAGACATCAAGATCATATGATCTTGATCATTGATAAAACTGCCTGCAAAGATAAAACTTTCCCGATGGGAAATTAAATTTATTAAGGCAGGTTCTAATCATGGTGTTGACTACTCTTGTGTGTTTTTTTTAAAAGTACATACATGTTACATGTTCTGTCTGTAACCAGAAGGGCTCAACATAAAATCATGATGACAGTCAGACAGTTGTTATTGTCTAACAAGAGAAAAGCTTCTGTATTGGACATTTGCTAAGAAATAGCTCAGCAAACTTGCTTGTGGAGCAAAATACAGCACTTGCAGCTCAACCTAAGGAGAAGTACTAGTTTCTAAAGGCAGCTTTTTTTTTTTTTTTTTAGCCAGGTGACTTGCACATGACCTCACTATTTTCTTCCCCAGTGCCTTTACCCTTTGAATGCTGGCTTCTAATTTGGGCTGAGTCTCCTTTTGTGCGACACAGAAGCTTGCTGTAGAAAAACGGCTTGACCGTCCCCTTTGCAAGAGGAAGGAGTAACCCTTCGGGGTGCTGAATATCCTTGAGCCCTGAGAGCTTCCAGGCTAAATCCACACTGGCACGCAGGCAGTCGACCACCGAATAACCTAAGAGTCGGGACACCTGAATTGTGTTGTGGGCTGGATCACCGTAGATCTCGCTAACAAAAATAAAATTCACAATATCCACTTTCGCAGAGCTTTTTGAGCTTTACAGTCGGAGCACTGTATCCTGGCTTAGTAGTATTGTATTTATTTTTACTTGAACAGCGCCATTGGTGTCGATGGGACTTGCCGAAATGTGCTTGCTGAGGCCTTGAACCAGCAATACCAGACCTAACGATCCTCTTCCCAACAGTCTTAGTTGTTTAGAGAATTTTTTGACGCGCACAAATAAAGGCACTTAAAAAACAAATAGCACCTGATTTCCATATAGAGAGTCTTTGGGAAAATACCACCCCATCAATTATGCATTTTTTTAAACACTGCCTTTTATTTCTCTGTCTGAGGGGGCCCATTTAATACTGCGAGTAATGTTCTGAGTAATACCGGGCTTGGCACAAATGAGGCGCTTAACTGAGTTCCTTATTTTTATTATCCATTGTCTGCTAACCGGTTTTTTGTTGTTTCATTTATTTGCCTTTTCCCTAGGGAAGGAAGGATGGCAGCTCGGCGCGCGCTGAAAGCTGTCTTGGTGGATCTCAGCGGCACGCTTCACATTGAAGACTCAGCTGTGCCAGGCGCGCAGGAAGCTCTTAAAAGGCAAGCTCCCTTTTTCGATTTCCTCTGATAGGTTATGTCAGCGCTCTTTGCACCAAGACGCTTCTTTAAGGAAGCAGGCCTGAAGCTTCTGCCTTTTTACGCTGTCGTGGTTAAGCAAATACGCACCCGAATTCTGCTTTTATTTACGCCCGTATTAATACCAAGAGAAGTCAGCAAAGGGCCTAGATATTGAAAAGGTGCCACGTATCACCTGAGGCCCCGCAGCATTCCTAAGTTGCTCTCTAGGTCTTTTCTGAGCCTTTTCTAGATAGAAAAAGGCAATGTTCAGAGTGTTTCTGGTAATTCTCGTGGGGCTATAGCCTTAGCCAAAGTGGAAAGTGGTTAAGTTAATCTGAATTATCCCATGTACATCAAAGTCATTTCAGCTGAGCTGTTCCTCGGTGCTTTGTTTAACTACAGGAACCTGATTGTCTGAGCCCTTAGGTCTGTGGTGAGCTAAAGTGGGGTGACAGCGAGAATAACTTGGCCTAGTGAGCAAGGCATCCTTTGCAGAGTTCTCATTTCATTTGGTCTTTCAGCCAAGGCTTTGCTTTATTATTTTTAAAGTTTCTTTCTACTCGGTAAACAAGCTCAGTCATTTTTTTAGTTTGAGAAACAGTTGATAATACAGCTCATCTTTTGTAGGAATTTCAACACGTTAATAAACAGGACAGTTAAGTACCTCTTTGTCTTCTGATGAAAGTGTGCCTAAAGAAACTGAAGCACAGTAAAATGACTTAATCTGGCCGAGTCGGTGGCAAAACGGGATACGCGACCCCAGGGATCTTTGTACTGTGTTATGGAACTGTTTTCCTGGAGAAGATGTCTTGCAATGGGTGAAGAAAGACACAAAGTGATTATCTGCTATCATGGTCTTAAGGTGCTGGGGCGGTAAGAATCAGGAGAGGAATAGGGCTGAATTCAGGACGAGAAGTTTTTACTGGAGTTGTATTGGCTGCTTAGATTTTTATAAAGCTGGACTGTTGCTCAGAGGAAAAGTTCACAGAGGGATTAGGAAACTCTGCATTTCTTTTCACAAATAATTCTGTGGAAATAATTATTTCCTAAAGATGTAAAACTGCAAGGAAGTAAAAACTGCTAAAGCATTGGCTACTCATTTGTTACCCATTCATTCTCTGGACCTTGTCTGCCTGGTGTTTCATGCTGCAGGGAAAACTTGGGCCAGGTGAGAGTCAGCATTCTCGAAAATCTCTGTATATATAAAAAAGTGATACTGTTGAGAAGAGCTCAGTACCTGTCCTGTCACTGCTCACCTCCAAACCCCCAGGCAGTAGACTGGACAGGTGTCATTTCACTGCCAAAACCAGCCGGTCTTTCTGATTTCGAGGTTTGAAAAAAGTATCTTCTCATGCTCTTTTCTGCTAATCCATGTCATTGTCCTTCCTGAAGAGATGCTGAAACGATTGGCCTGCCACTTGCTTAGGGAACAAATGGATCGATGCCATTTTTAGGGTTACTTCTCAGCCTTGAGGTCCCTAGGAAAAAAAAAAAAAAAAGATTAATTTTTATTTTATTAGCAACCAGAGGACTTTTTTTACCAGTTCATACTTGTGAAGGGTCAGTGTATCTGATAAACAAGAGAAATAAGTGGCAGGTGCAAGCAAGTCTCCAGCATTGACCAACTTTATTCTGCTGTTCTCCATGCAGTCCTGATGCCAGTGTTTGTTTCTATAGCAACAAACAGAGAAAGTGATGGTGGGGGAATAATTAACGGGAACACCGTTGAAATTGTCACTTAAAATTATTTAATTGTTTGGTAGCATGTACTGTCAGGGTAGGGCAATAATGTGGTTTTATGTGATGTCGGTGTTCCTCAGGAAAGGGTGAAATGGCTGCAAAAGCTGACGTAAAATCGCCGCACAGGTAACACAGGGTCCTAGAGCTTCCTGCATCTCTGAATGAGCCACAGCTGCTGTGAAATTCAGCCGGCATGTGGAGTTCAATATATTAATTTAGCAACAAGCTTCTTTTGTTTGTTTATTTTGGATCAGGATGCTTTTGATCCAGAATACAGGGCTGATTTATTTATTATCTAGTTTGAATTTCATTCAACTAGTTGTTGTTGGTCATAGATGTGTTTGCTACTACTGTGAAGGTGGAGTTTGGAATCGCCATTTTCCTCCAGACTTTTCCCGGTAGAAGCAAATCGGGGGAGACTTGGTCTTGTTCTGGTAGCTGTAATTCTTGCCATCTGTTTCACATCGCCCTCCAGTCCACAGAAGCCAACAACCTCATGGTTCTTGTGTGGCACCAGTACTCTGGGATGTATACAGTCTCTTCATCTGTGGCTTTTAGACAAACGGTCCTTTTTCAGTCCCAAAGAGACGTAAATAGAAGGATGCTGTGGCCAATTTGCCTTTGCTCTTCATCCATCAGGCTGCGCAGCGCTCCGGTTACCATTCGATTCGTGACGAACACAACGAAGGAGTGCAAGAGAGACCTGCTGGAGAGGCTGACGAAACTGGGGTTTGACATTGCAGAAAATGAGATCTTCACGTCTCTGACAGCAGCCAGAAATCTTCTGGAGCAAAGGCAGGTGCGGCCTCTCCTCTTGGTGGACGATAAGGCCCTGCCTGATTTCACAGGTGAGGCGGTCACAGAACAGCATGGGGGACGTTACTAAACAGCTAAGGAAACATAGTGTTCTCCCTTTTGTAGAATGACAATTGTATATATGCCATTAGCCATGATGAAGCCTGAAATGTGGAGCTCTCCAGCGTCATAAAGGTCTTTTCTTCTTTTTAAATTAACATTGAACAGTCTGAAGTCATAGCTTCTTGAGGAGTAGTGGAAATGGCAGCCGAAGCCATCAGATAGTCAGGAATTCAGGTAAAACTCAATACTTTTTATTAATTTTCAGTGTAAGAAACCAGTAATACTCATCACTAGATCATTGGAGATTTATTGCACCTACCAGTGCTGATGTGTTTTATAGTAAGGAGGTGTCAGTTTGTTGGAAATCCGGTTTCCCTCAGGTATTGTACAGAGGTTTTGCTCATAAAGAGCTGAAAAGCCAGTGTGTAGGCACACGCAGGAGGCTGTTTCTCTCTTAATAGATTACTATTAAATGTAAAATCTCCAGGTAGTTATTGTTACTTATCTTGTATTGAACATCTAGGTCTCACTCTGCGTGCTTTGATGCCTTAATTGGTGACAGAACGTTCATCACCCTGATTTCTCTAGATTGTCATCTCTAAAGATCTGGTTAAAACTTGATTTACTTTCAGATGTTCCCATTTCCCTCCCTCAACAATAAGAGGAGTAGAAGATGATGTATTCTAACCTGGACATGTCTGGCAGGTGCCTGAAGCTAGGCCAGTTAGTCCTTGAGTTAACCACGTCATTTTTTCAAGAGTAGTGAAGATACCCACATTTTTAACGTACTCAGAGTTGAAACCATATATTGTATATTCAGGCTTTCATTTTAAGTCAAGGCAGCAAAATGTGGATGCCTTCCCACTGCTCCCTGCCTTACGAACTGAAATCCTTATGGCTGTGTAATTTAAGTGTGTTCTAATCTTGCTAGGAGCTAGATGTTTCCTGTTAAATTTTAGTGCCATAGTGTAGTCAGTAATCTTCGGAAAGATAAGTGTTCAGGAGAAAAGCCTTTGTGGGCTCCGAGAGCAATGAAACCTGATAATCTGTTCCACCTAACGTCGTATCCAGAGAAATACGCCCCTAGCAATATTCTGTATTTGCGTTCTCAGGAAGGCTTTCTTGGGTCAGAAACAGCAGAGACAGCAGCTATTTCACCAAAGGTGCTTAAATCAGTGTAACCTCCATGTATTTGGGATCTTTCCATCAGTTTTACAGTAGCTGATGCGAATTTTGTAACAGATGGCAAAGATGGAGGTATCAGTGGAGTACATTGGTGGCATTTTCTGCGTTGCTTAGATGTGGAATGGAGTGCCTCGTTTCTTTTTGCTGCAAGCGGTGTTGCTCATATTCTCTCAGTGCTGCTCTTGAAACATTTAAGTACAACAGAGAATGTTTTAAATTCTGTTAATGGCTGCTACTGAACTATTCTTGGCTAATCTCTCCATAAAGTTGGTCACAGATGGATGAATGTAATCCATTCTTGGTTAAAGGACCCAGATGCTTTTGGAGGGTGTCACAAATCCACGTAGCATCTCCGAGTGTACATTTTGCCGTCTGAGCTAACTGAAGGACGTGTGGCAGGAGACGTCAGCCAGCAGGCTGCGATGACGCTCTCTGGAGACCCAGGAGCTCTAGTTATCCCAGTAAAGGTGTAGAGGAAATGCTGCGTGAAGGCGGAACAACACCCTCAGCAAGTGCAGGGTGCAGCTGGTACTTAACCTGGCCTAAATAAACCGCTCTGGTACTCCTGTTTCTCCTGTAGATGCTACTCTGCTTCTGTTGCTGGCTCTGTTCAGAGGTGGCACTGCCATGTAAAAACAGTCACGCTGCTCCGGAACAGTGCAGGACAGAGGAGGTGCAAGCTGGTCTCGAGGGGACTAATCCACATTAAAAAAAAAAAAAAAGACCTTCCAGAAGAGCCAAAAGTAATTTAGTGTAACAACTTGTCAGTCACGCTGCAATACCATTTTTGCCATCATAACCAGACTGATACGCAGAACAACAGTCAGGCTTTTTACCTGAAGTGGAGTTTTCTGTGACTAGAGGGAACAGAAAAACTGGATGGAATTCACTAGTCTTCCTGCTTTACTGTCTTACAAAGCAGATCAATATATGTAGAAAGAGATTCTTAGATAACAAAAAGTCGTTCAGTTAAAAAAAGTGATTTGTGCGGTCTGCTGCATTTCAGTGCAGGCAGTGAGAGAATCACTGTTCAACAGTCGCTGTTAAGACTATCCAGCTGCAGAGTTGTGCTTGTCGTGAAGGATGGCAGAGTCTGGATAGATCGACACCTTTTCCACAGATGCTTTCCTCATTTCTAAAAGACGTAAAACTAGTCCATGTGATGTGTCTGGCTCAGAAGATGCTCGTTTTTGCTGTGAAGTGAATTAATTGCACTCGTTGACTTGGGTACTGCTTAAGTACAAATAAAATTCTGTTCGCTCAGAGTCGTCTTTTGGTTTTCCAGGGATAGCCACTGATGACCCCAATGCAGTGGTGGTAGGACTGGCTCCTGAGCGCTTTCACTATGAGATGATGAACAGAGCGTTTCGGTAAGTCAGCCCTTTCTGGTGGCTTTTTGAATGGTGGCTGTCTTGTGCTGGGCTCTGTACCTCTCCGTAGGCGAGGAAATCCTTCTCGTGTGGGAAGAAGAGGGTGGTAGCAATATCACCGTTACATCGCGTGATTATGGTGTCTGCCTCTGTGTCTGAGTGCGAGCCACTAACTGGGTGGATTTGGGACCTCAACCGTGAACTTCAGGCAGTCCAGCCCTGGTTTCCATAGCTTTCAGTCTGTAAATAAACTATAGAAGTACGGTCACGGTTGTCATTGAGGTGAAAAAGTTAGCAATGCTTCAAGAGGTAATACACAAAAACAAGGATGTTGGGAAGTATTCGGGAGATGGCTTCTATGTTTGAACCTCAGCCTTCAGAGCTCAAATATTATGGGGAAGGAAATCCAGTATTTAGGGCAGATTATTCCTTACCTACCTAGTGCAGGATTTCTAGCAATTTCTTCTGAAGCTTCTTGTGTTCAGGAGTAGCCAGCACAATGCGCTGGGCTAGATGATCTATGGATCTGATCCGGTCTGTCTTATTTCTAAAGCTCTTCGTTTTGTGTGTTGATTAAGGGGTAAATCAAATAAAATTTATCTGTGACTGTACAGGAGCCAAGATGCAATAGTGTGTGCAGAGGTGCGTAGCCGTGTGTCCTTCTCTCTAGTTCTAGCTCAGCACAGCACTCTTGATTTTAATATTAAAAAAAACCCCACCCCTTTAGCTTCAAAGACTTGAACGTGAACCTGTTGCTGAGTTTAGCCCCGCTGATGTGCCTTTTGTCTGTTGTGAAATGCGCAGAGAAAGGTCGTCTGAACGTCCCACCTACCCTGCCCCCCGACCGAGCCTGCTGTGCCTGCGTTTCACTTCGCTGGGAGCTCTCTGAACCCGCTGTCCTCCAGCAGCGGTTTCGGCCGAGCTGATCAGCCTGGCCTCGTAACAGCACCCTGTGTTAACACCTGTGCTGGGGGCGTATTTCTCTGGATACGACGTTAGGTGGAACAGATTGTCAGGTTTCATTGCTCTCGGAGCCCACAAAGGCTTTTCTCCTGAACACTTATCTTTCCGAAGATTACTGACTACACTATGGCACTAAAATTTAACAGGAAACATCTAGCACGAGTGTTAACCCCCCGCCGGCAGCTGGTAACCAGCTTTAGAGCTATCTCAGAGCTAAAGAGGACATAGAATCATTGAATCTTTTAGGTTGGAAAAGGCCTTTAAGATCATCCAGTCCAACCATTAACCCAACACTGCCAAGTCCACCACTAAACCAGTTCTCGTAACACCCTGGATAACTCCCTGCTGTGCTATGATACGTGTGATGAGTCCTTTCCACTCTTTGCTCAGGGGATGATGGCTACCGTGCAATTTTTCACCTTGGAATTTGAAAAAAAACCTGATCTCAGAACACCTTAATCTGTCTTTATAACCACTAAATCCGAAGAGGGAGTATTAATTACTGCTCACCAGTATCTTACGGAGGCTCCTTGGAGTAGGAAGCCAACGCTGTCCTTATCTGCCTGCCAGTTCTATGTTATAAGAACATGTATCGACCCAAACCGATTCTCTGGCAGCCTCATTAGTGCGTGTTGCCAATGGCATTGATTTTAGAGTTTTACAGCGCGCTCATGAGCGGACTCTCATTTCACAGCTGCAAGGACTTAACCCGTTCTGTATTCCAGTGCTTACAGAATTTTATTTATTGATATTTCTCTCGTGAATATAGTAACCGCTGAATAATATCATTAGCTGCTTCGGGCTGGAGATCTGGACACTTAAAACAAGAAACCAGGCATCACGTGCAGAGTCCCTGAGGGACCTCAGGCTTCCCCAGGCCAGCAGACGCAGGAACTGGCGGAACTGGCCCTGTGGAGGTGGGCGAGCTTATCCCAGGCTGGATTTGGGCTTTTTGCATTAAACACAGAACTGGATGCTTGCTCTGGTGATGGAAGGAAGGTGCTGAAGGCCAAATCCAGTCCCCTGCAGTGGGCGCGGCATGGCCTTGCTGCCCAAGGGAGACAACGTATTCAAGGGGGTAGCGTGGAGTCCGCGCTGCCGGAGCATCCTGTATCCAGTGCTGCCTGGGTGGTGTGGCCGAGCACTGAGCAAGGCTGAGTCCTTCAGCTCGCCTTGTGACAGATGCGTTCCCAGCCGCTTGGCTGACTTGTCTGCCGCGAGGAAGATTTCATCCTCTGTGAATCTGTCCTGGATTTGCCCAGTGTTTTCCTGGTCCCGTGTTTCAGGCTGGGCAGAGGCCCTAGGGTGGGCTCTGTCTGACTTTAACATCCCACTGATTTGTTCTGGGTTCTTCTCCCAGTCCTCTACTGAGGGTAAACTCTTTTGCTGGCGTCAGTTTTGTTTGGTCTAATGGAAATATTAATTACTGGCCGCATTCCCTTCTTCTCGAGCCTTATGCTGTGTCCTTTGCTTTATTCCTTGTCCTTTACTGCTCAGATAATTAAGTCACTTGGGATTTGCATACTGCTCACAGCAAAACTTTAAGGTGAATCTGATTAAATGCAGATATCTACAGTGCCGATGCCTGTGTCTGAGCTGGTGACCTGGGCTCCTGCGGGAGAGAGGAGGCGCTTGTGAGGCATCGTTCATTTTTCCCCTAGTAGCGCTTAAAATAGGGCAGTTGAACTGTGCCCTAGAAGTGCTTTTTTTCCTCTCCACTGACTGTGAAGAGCCCAGGCTGGCTAATTACCTGGTAGGCAACTGCTGGGTTGATATCCAGCATTAGGTTAGGTAAATCTAACGCGATACGAGTCCCAAAACGAGATAGAGAGAGTACAGCCGTTCTCTAGGCACCATTTGAAATGACTGAGACTAAATTTCTCTTTTTGTATACATGGGATTTTGATGCCACATTTAAAAGAATGCTCTCAGGTGAGATCTTTCCTGCAAACTGCTGAACGTAAGTGGTTGTGGTGCTGCCGTCAAATTAAATTTTTCTGTATCCTAGAGGCATCCTCCCATCGTGAACATACCTGGCTGCTCACAGACCCACACGTCAGCTCTCTTCTTGTTGAGCTTGCTTTTGGAACGCATTGATTCAATAGAAATGCTTTGTGATAATTAAGTGGAATGAAATATTAATCATTTATGTACTGCTCAGAGTACCCAGGCTGCTCTGCAAGCACATGGGAAGGAGCAGACGTCCTCCAAGGAGCGTACAATTCACCTCAGCCAGCATCTCTGAGCAGAGCTCCAGAAAGGCAGTGAAGGGGCAAAGCAAGATTTTGTTTGTTTTCTTAAAGGCTCTTTTTTTTTTTTTTTTTTGTAAATCAGGTGGGGTTAAGGGGAAAAGAAATCCTCCTTTCTGCCTCGAAAATAACAGCTGATGTTTCTCCTTTATCCCCCAGCTTTGCTAGTTACATTCCTACCTGTTGTGATAAAGATTGGAGTTGCCTGCAGTACCTGAAGAAGGTGCTGTAAAATCAAAGGGGAATTTTTTGGCAGTCGTTACCTTGACTTTTTATAGCCGCTGTCTGGAGGGCTTTTGTTGCACTGAACCTGAGGCTGGGGAGCGGGAGGACTGCAAAAACGTCACTGTGCTTGGTAGGGCCGGGAGGATTCCTCTAGCGCAGCAGCTACGCAGGCTTCCCTTTGCTGCAGGACAGGTGGCTGCTGTGTCTGGTGTTGGGGAAAAACACCCGGGAAGGAAAACAAAATCATAGAACCAAAACAAC